TGTCCCCGTCCCCGTGTACAGAGGGCGCTGCCGCAGCCCCGAGCTTTGGTCCGTCATTGCCAGCGACTCCCAGCTCGTTTATGAAGCCTTATTTCCCCCTTCTTAATTAGTCACCACCGAGGAAACGATAATTTACGTGATACCGCAACTAAAACGGCCGAAGCTTGTCCAAAAGGCAGTTTATTTCAGGTACTTGAAGAAGTTCTAACATGTAACCGCGTTTGTTTCCTTCGTTTCACTGTTTAATGCCATGAACATAATGAAGTGTTAAATTGCTTTATCAGACACCGTCAAGGGCACTTTGCTGTGGTCAGGGGTGCTGTGAGGAACCGTTTCTGTTTGTCTGCACAAGGTGTCACTTTGTAGCTGTTCTGGAGAAAGTTTCTCTGTATTTCTGTACATATTTATCCATGATAGTGCATAGGATGTGTGGTACAGTTCTATTCTTTTATTGTCAAGACTATTAAAGTTTGCTTTTGGTTCCTAAGAAATTGGTTCTACAGAGAAATTATTGATTACCTCGGTAAGAGCTTCTCCCCTGGGGTTTTCCACGTGTTTGGTTTGATTTGGGATTTCAGGGTTGGTTTTTGAGGGTCATTTATCCACAGACAGACCCCAAGAGCTCCAATCATGGGGCTTTTCCTGCTGCTAAGGATGGTTTATCTGGAGTGGTGAAAGGCCACAAATCAATCACACAAAGCCTTCGTTCATCAAACAAAATGATTTTTATTGAATTCGTAGGATTTACAAGAAATGTACTTTTTTGTCTGCAGTGTTTATTGCACTGAAAAGAACCCATAAATAACATATCAGGACAATTAATGAACCAAATGAAATTCCTGGAGAGGGTAACTGGACAATTAAAGATTTTCCCCAAGTGAGGAGCTTTAGGACAAAAGCTCATTAAAAAAAAACCCAGTAATTGCTGTTCCATCCCTGATTTTCCCCCTGGGGTGGCACAGTGGGGCAGCCAGTGCTGCTGCCTTTCCACTGGAGCGGGTCAGGTTTTGGGAAATGCAGGATCAAAACCACTTCTTTGGGAAGGTACAGGTGTCCCCCTCTGAGTAAGCTGTGTGGAAATGAGGAGTGGGGCTGGAGTAGTAACGAGCTAAAGTACAAAATAAGGCAACTGAGCTTCACCGGGGCGGGGTGGGCAGGGCTGGGTCTGTACATTAAAGCTGTGAACGAGGGCAGAGCTCTCAGGAGAGATCCCAAAGCACTCCCTGAACGAGGCAGCTGCGCTGGGACAACGTGTGGAGCCAGGATGGGACCATTGCCCTTCAGAAATGCACAGCCAGCTCTAACTCTGCAGCTGGCTCAGCACAGGGCACCACAGAACTTGCTGCTTTCTCACGGTCAAAAAAGATTAACAACCAATTTCCACTTTTTTTTTTGTTTTTTTTTTTTATAAACAACACATCATACATGTAGAAAAAAAATATTCAAGAGGATAATAATAACAAAGGTGCAACGTCAACAAAAAAAGAAGCTGCCTTTTGAACCAGAAGCGTTTTTTCCTGGGGAGCTCAGTAGTGGGCGCTGTGCTGCTGNTGTATTTACTGTTATTTTGCTGTATATTAGCAACTAACTGTTAATTTGGTGCATATTAACAATGAACAGTTGGATTTGGTGCATATTGACAATTAACTGTTAGATTTGATGTATATTAACAATCAAAATTGGATTTGGTGTGTATTTACAATTAAATGTTAATTTGGTGTACATTAACAATTAACATTGGATTTGATGCATATTGACAATTAACTGTTAGATTTGGTGTGTATTAACAATTAAGATTGGATTTGGTGTGTATTAACAATTAACTGCTACATTTGGTGTAAACAATTAAGATTGGATTTGGTGTGTATTAACAATTAACTGTTAGATTTGGTGTAAACAATTAAGATTGGATTTGTTGTGTATTAACAATTAACTGTTAGATTTGGTGTGTATTAACAATTACCATTGGATTTGGTGTGTATTAACAATTAACTTAGATTTGGTGTAGATTAACAATTAAGATTGGATTTGGTGCATATTGACAATTAACTGCTAGATTTGGTGTGTATTAACAATTAACATTGGATTTGGTGTGTATTTACTGTTAATTTGCTGTATATTAACAATTAACACTGGATTTGGTGTGTATTAACAATTAACTGTTAGATGTGGTGTAGATTAACAATTAAGATTGGATTTGGTGTGTATTTTTATGTAGTTTTATTTCCCTTAGGAATTCTGAGTGGCTGAAATCCCCAATTTTAAGTCTTGGCTGGGATGACAATTGCTATTTCAGCCACTCAGAATGTTTCAGACACCCAGAGCTCCTCCAGGCCCATCAGACCCTGAGTGCACAGCTCAGTTCTTTCCTCACCCCTGGGCTGTTTTCCTGCAGCTCTGGTTGCTCCTGCTCCTAAACCCCAAGAACACCAGACAAACAGCAAAAAGCAGCAAAGCCAAAAATACCAATTTTTTTCTCTTTTATGCTACAAAACCATCTCCTGTGTGGGCAGGGCAGGTGGGAGCTCACCTGGGAGCACAGGGGTGCTTGTACTGAGCCCTTTTGTTGATGTGATCCACGTAATAAACGCCAAACTCTGCGGACTCCACACGCTCCCAGCCCGGGGGCAGCCCCTCGCGCTCCAGGGGGTGGCTCCAGTGCGTGGTGTTGGTGTTGTGGTCGATGTAATATTTCCTTCCTCTGATAGTCCAGTCCACTGACCAGCCAGGAGGAAGAGGTAAATCTTCAGAACTATGATTTGTTAAGTTTCCTAAAGATGTAGCAGCAACTCTCCCGATGCCTAAAAAAACAAAGGGAGATTGGGGTTTAGGGAGAGATTTAGAGATGTTATGATTTTTGTTAATGAATTATTATGGCTGCTTCATTTATCAACAAAAACGAAGTTAAATTTCATATATCAACCAAAAAAAACCCCAGAAGTTCAGAAATTAGAACTCTCCAGACAAATCACTCCCAAAGCTTTTCAGATAAACCAGATGAGAGCAGCAACAGGATGAGGTAAACAAGGGACAAGCAGGGTTGGGCTCCAAGAGCTGCCAGGAAGCAGCAGCTGATGAAATTCCCTCTTTTCCCTGGCATTGATCCAGCACTAGGTTTGAGACTGCTCAGCAGCTCTGAAATGTGGGATTTGTTGTAACACTCAGAGTTTTTAGCAGCTGGAGGGTGAGAGATGCCCACAGAAGCAGCTCCTGTCCCATCCCTCCCCAGGGACACTTGGGAAGAAATAAAACTGAGCAAGCACAGAAAACTCAGAAAAAACATCCCCAAGACACCCAACCACAAAACCTCAGTGCCAATCAAGAATTTTAATCAAGAATTCTGCAGGTTTCTTCACATCCCTGGGAATTTGTTACCTCCTGGATGTGCTGGGCTCAATTCAATTCCCTTTAAAAATTCATTTTGAGGAGTTCCCCCCAGTCCCTCACACTCCCTACTTTGAATGAAAATCCCAATTTTCTTTCATCCCACAGCCAAATGCATCCACTCAATCCCATTATCAGCAGTTTGTGTGGTGCTGTTTCCCACAGCCAGCAGAAGGGATTTGGGAGATTTTTACACTTTTTTACAAGTCAGAATTCACCCCCACACACATTTACTGACAGGAACACACCCCCTGCTCCTTTTCTTTTCAGGAATAACATTTTGGTGGGGTTATTTTCTGAGAAGAGAAAGGCAAAGTCTCTCTCTTCTAAAATCACAGCCTGAAACCTGGGGGAGCTATATCCTAACAGAATATTATAATAATCAAACTTACAGGAAGGCTCCAAAACAAGGGGATAAATAAAAAACACATTAAAATCCCTCTCACAAACATCCTCCTTTAAAACTTGCTGCTCATCCTTGTCGTGTCCTGAAGTGTTTGGCCTGGAAGGATTTCCTCTGCTGTCAGGACTTACCTGTGTGTCCATCTTTAATTGGGATTGAACAACCCAGAGAATTCTCAATTGCAGAGAAATGAAACATCTGGAACCTTCCTGACCTTTGGGAGGGAAGCTGGTTCAGCTCCACATGCCAGTGACAAAAATAAAAATATTTCAGCTTCTTCAGAGTGCTGTGTTTGGGCCAAACAAACTCAGGATTTTCCCCCATTTTTTGGCTGAAACTCTGGGATGGGATTTCATGGGTGTGGAAATTGTGATTGTTAAATCAGCGCTGCCAGGAGAGCTGAACACACAAATCTGGGGGGAAAAATCCTTATTTTTCTGTTTACTGCTAAAACCTGCACATTCCTGTATTTTTCTCACAGTTCCTCCTCCTTAACCATAGCCTTAAATCCATATTTATTTTTACTGAAGGTAAATGATTCCCAACATTGGAAGAGGTGCCACCCTCTGCACTGAAGCTCTCCTGACACATGGATTCTCCCAATGCCACTTATTTTTCATTTCCACCATGCAAAGAACAGAAATAACACCAGATCACAAATATTTTATCCATTCCTTTTGCCATTTTCATTAAAAGAGCCAAACCATTAAAATAAACTTGCACAGCTGCAGAAATGATCATTTTTGAACAATGTTCCACGGACATGAAATCAAAGGCCAGACTGATAAAATGATAATTGTAATAATAATTTTTTCCCTTTTATCACAGATTATATTGGAATATTCTCTCTGCTGCAAGTTTTAAGATGTTGATATTCACAGGGCCTTAAAGCCATCGACCACTGTGGCATGAAAATCAGCAATTATTAAAATGGAGACTTTTTTCCTATAAAATTAATTTTTTAGAGAACAAAATTGTCTGTTGGTTTTCCTGCTAAACCTCAGATGTTGGTTTGTGGGAGGATGGATACACACATGAGAGAAAAACTCCTCCTATAGTTTTGAACAGTAAAAAAAGAGGAAAATTCACTTTTATATATACACACAGACCTGTAATTCCAACTAAAGAAAATTCCAAAGAAGAAAATTCCAAGAGAGCCTCAATCCATGGCAAATTTCCAGGAATGCCATTTTCTGCATTTAAATCCCAGATCAATTCTGAGCCCCAAAGCTCCACAGAGGATTTTCCCTGGATTGGGGGCTGGCACCAGATTTATGGGTCACAAATAGAAAAGCTGAAGAGTTTTTATACAAATATTTGGTGTAAAACTTGGGATTTTCCTCAGCATGTTCACTGTAACTCTCAGGGTTTTTTTTTGCTCACACACTCTTCTGGCTGTAACAAATAAAAATTCTCATTCTTATTGCTTTCCCAAGAAATCAAGTTAAATTATTCTCTTTTTCCAAATGTCTCCTTTCCTCTGCTGAGGGATGAGCACTCTCTGGAGTGGCACTGTCAAACCTCAAGGATGGTCAACAATTAATTCAATTTATGCATTTGTAAAACATTGGCAAGCCTCATCTGGTAATTCTGTTTATAATAATATAATNGGGATTCCCTGGGTTCAGAATTCCCCAGGATTGGGATTCCCCAGGATTGGGGTTCCCTGGGATCAGAATCCCCTGGGTTTGGGATTCTCCGAGTTTGGAATTCTCTGGGTTTGGGGTCTGGGATCGGGATTCCCTGGGATCAGGATTCTCTGGGATTGGAATTCCCCAGGATTGGGATTCCCTGGGATCAGAATCCCCCGGGTTTGGGATTCCCTGGGTTCGGAATTCCCCGGGATTGGAATTCCCCAGGATTGGGGTTCCCTGGGATCAGAATCCCCTGGGTTTGGGATTCCCCAGGATTAGGGGTCCCTGGGGATTGGGATTCCCTGGGTTCAGAATTCCCCAGGATTGGGATTCCCTGGGATCAGAATTCCCCAGGATTGGGATTCCCTGGGATCAGAATCCTCTGGGATCGGGATTCCCTGGCATCAGAATTTCCCAGGATTGGGATTCCTCAGGATTGGGATTCCCTGGGATCAGAATCCCCCGGGTTTGGGATTCCTTGGGTTCGGAATTCCCCGGGATTGGGATTCCCCAGGATTGGGGTTCCCTGGGATCAGAATCCCCTGGGTTTGGGGTTCCCTGGGATTGGGATTCCCCAGGAGTAGAGGTCCCTGGGGATCGGGATTCCCTGGGTTCAGAATTCTCCAGGATTGGGATTCCCTGGGATCAGAATCCCCCGGGTTTGGGATTCCCTGGGATTGGGATTCCCCAGGGTTGGGGTTCCCTGGGATCAGAATCCCCCGGGTTCGGGATTCCCCGCGTTCAGNTGGTGTGTATTAACAATTAACTGTTAGATTTGGTGTAGATTAACAATCATAATTGGTTTTGGTGTGTATTTACAATTAAATGTTAATTTGGTGTATATTTACAATTAACACTGGATTTGGAGTATATTTACTGTTAATTTGCTGTATATGAACAATTAACAATTAATACACAACATTAATTTGGTGTGTATTAACAACAGTTAGATCTGGTGCATATTGACAATTAACTGCCAATTTGCTGTATATTAACAATTAAGATTGGATTTGATGTGTATTAACAATTAACTATTAGATTTGATGTATATTAACAATAATAATTGGTTTTGGTGTGTATTAACAATTAAATGTTAATTTGGTGTACATTAACAATTAACATTGGATTTGGTGCATATTGACAATTAACTGTTAGATTTGGTGTAGATTAACAATTAAGATTGGATTTGGTATGTATTTACTGTTATTTTGCTGTACATTAACAATTAACAATTAATACACACCATTAATTTGGTGTGTATTAACAACAGTTGGATTTGGTGCATATTGACAATTAACTGCTAATTTGCTGTATATTAACAATTAAGATTGGATTTGGTGTGTACTAACAATTAACTTAGATTTGGTGTAGATTAACAATTAACATTGGATTTGGTGCATATTGACAATTAACTGTTAGATATGGTGTATATTAACAATCAAAATTGGTTTTGGTGTGTATTTACAATTAAATGTTAATTTGGTGTACATTAACAATTAAGATTGGATTTGGTGCATATTGACAATTAACTATTAGATTTGGTGTATATTAACAATTAAGATTGGTTTTGGTGTGTATTAACAATTAACTTAGATTTGGTGTACATTAACAATTAAGATTGGATTTGGTGTGTTATTAACAATTAACTGTTAGATTTGGTGTACATTAACAATTAACACTGGATTTGTTATGTATTTACTGTTATTTTGCTGTATATTAGCAACTAACTGTTAATTTGGTGCATATTAACAANTTTGGAATAATGGAGATTTTTGGAATAATGGAGATGTTTGGAATAATGGAGATATTTGGAATAATGAAGATATTTGGAATAATGAAGATATTTGGAATAATGGAGATATTTGGAATAATGGAGTTGTTTGGAATAATGGAGTTGTTTGGAATAATGGAGTTGTTTGGAATAATGGAGTTGTTTGGAATAATGGAGTTGTTTGGAATAATGGAGATATTTGGAATAATGGAATTATTTGGAATAATGGAGATATTTGGAATAACGGAGTTGTTTGATGCAGCTGAGGCACAGGAGCATGGATTCACCTGGCTGCAGGCTGGGGCTGGAATATCAGTGGATTTCTGGAAATAAACTGCACTCCCCACTGAAACTCCCATTCCAGAGGCATCACAGGAATTTTATGAGGAATTTGATGAGGAATTTTATCAATTTCACTAAAACTCACCACAGCCTCTGTATTAAGTTATCCCTGATTCTGACAGGGCTGCACTGCTAAAATCTTTTTTTTTTTTTTTCCCAAAAAAAACAAAATAACCACCTGCAGCAGTTTGGAGTTGGAGCTCTGTGGTTGAGTTTTCAGTGAAAAATTCACAAGTGAAGAATTTTCAGCAGCAATGCCCAGTGTGGATGAGCAGTGAGCCCTGGGTTTGTGGGGATCAGCAATGAACTGTTAATCTCAATTTCCCTCCTCTCCCCTCCCACCCTCACAGGAAGGAATTGGTTCCCATAAACAAAGATTATTTTTGAACTCCCTGTCAGGCTTTTTCTAACCCTAATTCTTATCCTTTAGAGGAATTTGTTAAAACAAAATCTAATATTCTTATTTTTCCCATAATTATTTACTCCTCTCAACAAAAACAAACAAAAACAAGCTAAATCAATTTGCAGAGCCAGGTGTAAGTAACAAATCATGACAAAATAAAACCAATTATTTCAGTGCAAAACTGTGCTGATAATTAAAAATTCAAAACTTTGTCTCAGCCTACTTGCTATAAAGAAATCCCTGCTGAATTGTTGAATTTCTCTCATGTTTGTTTCTCAAGTTTCAAGAAAATATCCAAAATAATCCACACAACACAGGCTGAGCTATTTAAATTTACACTGGATGTGCCAAAAACCTCAATAAATGAATGGATCTGCAGCCAAAACCTGGAAGGATTTCTGGGATACAAATCCTACAGGAATTTGTGTGGAGCCCCAGTGTTCTGGGGGGTTTTAGGGCAATTTAAATTTTATGGGCTGCTGGCAAACCCAGCAGTAACAAGAAATAACAAAACTCATTCAAATTGTGTCAGTAGGAGCAGGTAATAAAAAAAGGAATTTTTTTAGTGGAAGTCACTGAACACCACAGCTTGAATTTGCAGTTCCAGGCTGCTGGAAAACTGAATTTCTCCATATTCTCCTTAAGAACAGCACATGATTTAATAATTATTACACCACATTTGGGATTTTATTGCTTTCTATTCAGTGTTACTGCACCCATTAGAAAATCTCATTTCTTGATGCTGACTCAAACCTTTTTTGGGAGGAGACTCCCTGTTCCTGCAGCAGCTTTTTGGTTTTTTTTTTTTTTTGACAAAATGATTTTTTTATTAGCCTTTGGTTTTTCAATTCAATTTCTTGAACAGAAATATAGAAATAGAAATATAGAAATAGAAATATAGAAACAGAAATATAGAAATAGAACCCTGGATCCCTGCAGTGTCCCAGGCCAGGCTGGATGGGATTGGAGCAGCCTGGGATGGTGGAAGTGTCCCTGCCCATAGCAAGGGTGGGAGTAAATGATTTTTAAGTTCCTCCCAATCCAAATAATTTCATGATTCTGTGATTAAAAACTCTGAAAGGTGGAGGAAAAGCTGTGCTGTTTAAATAGAACTAAAAGAGCCATGAGGAAGTTCCACCCTAGAAATGTTTCACATATTTTCTGAGCTACTCTGGTAAAGCAAAACACATCCTTCAGCCTGTGACAGCTTTGTGGGAGCTGCACAAAGTGATCACTCCTGAAAGAAAGCAAATTAATGTGATAAATATCTGGTACAACTCCTTCCCTCAGCCTAAAAGCCAAACACAGCCCAAGCTCTGCTGTCAGCCACAGAAATTCAATGTTTTTGCATTTTCAGAGTGCAAAGAAGAGAACAAAAGGCAGGTTCTCACTTGACAGGAGCCCTGGCATAGACCTGGAGCCAGTCAGGGATCTCAGCACTGTGGTAGGGGTTGGCAGGGACCAGCAGGGCCTGGCTCCGCTCCGGGGGCTGCGGCTGGTAGGACACGGGGGGCGGCTGGTCATAGCGGGGCACGCTGCGGACACACGGACACGGACAGGGGACAGGGGACAGGGTCAGCACTGGGCACACAGTGCACCCTGCAGGCACCCAGTCCTCAGCATTGCACACACACTCACAGTTCTGAGCATTGCACACACACTCACCAGTCCTCAGCATTGCACACACACTCACATTTCTGAGCACTGCACACAAACTCACATTTCTGACCATTATACACAGATTCACCATTCCTGAACATGTTACAGACTCACCCTTCATTTCTGAGCGTTATACACAGATTCACTCATTTTTGTGCATTATACACAGACTCACCATTTCTGAACACTATATATACACAAATTCACCCTTCCTGAGCATTATACACAAACTCACCATCTCTGAGCATTATGCACAGACTCACTCATTTCTGAACATTATACACATTCACTCTTTCTGAGCATTATACACAAACTCATAATTTCTGAACTTTATACACAGATTCACTCATTTCTGTGCATTATACACAGACTCACCATTTCTGAATATAATACACATTCACCATTTCTGAACTTTATACACAGATTCACCATTCCTGAATATTATACACACTCACCATTCCTGAGCATTATACACAAACTCACTCGTTTCTGAACATTATATATACACAAACTCACCATTTCTCAACATTACACACACTCACCATTCCTGAGCATTATACACACACTCACCGTATCTGAATGTTATACACAGATTCACAATTTCCAAACATTATATACACAGACTCACTCATTTCTGACCATTATACACAGACTCACCACTCCTGAACATGTTACAGACTCACCCTTCATTTCCGAGCATTATACACAGATTCACTCATTTTTGTGCATTATACACAGACTCACCATTTCTGAACTTTATACACAGATTCACCATTCCTGAGCATTATAACAGATTCACCATTCCTGAATATTACACACACTCACCATTCCTGAGCATTATACACACACTCACTCATTTCTGAACATTATATATACACAAACTCACCATTTCTCAGCATTACACACACTCACCATTTCTGAGCATTATACAGATTCACAATTACCAAACATTATATACACAGACTCACTCATTTCTGAGTTATACAGATTCACCATTCCTGAACATTATACACAGATTCACCATTTCTCAACATTATGTATACATAAATTCACTCATTCCTGAGCATTATGCACACACTCACTCATTTCTGAACATTATATACACAGATTCACCATTCCTGAACTTTATACACAGACTTACACTGAGCATTATACACAAACTCACATTTCTGAGCATTATAACAGATTCACCATTCCTGAACATGTTACAGACTCACCCTTCATTTCTGAGCATTATTCACACACTCACATTTCTGAGCATTATACACAGATTCACTCATTTTTGTGCATTCTACACACACTCACCATTCCTGAGCACTATACAGAGATTAATTCATTTCTGAACATTCTATATACACAAACTCACATTTCTGAGCATTATACACAGATTCACCACTCCTGAACATTATTCACACACTCACCATCTCTGAGCATTATATCCAGATTCACTCATTCCTCAGCATTATACACAGATTCACAATTTCTGAGCAGTATATATATACACAAACTCACAATTTCCAAACATTATATACAAACTCACCATTCCTTAGCATAACACACAGACTCACTCACTCCTGAACATTATATATAC